TTTATTGATATATATTCCAAATTTCAGCTCGATATTTGAAAAAAGGACCGAGTTATGATTAATTTATTATTGCGATCGGCGGTGTGGCACACGTGTGTGAATAGAACTCAACACATGAAGAAGCATCTTCAGAACATATCTCTAAAATTAATCGATTAAGTAAGCGACATCAGAAGATATGTTATTCATATAACTATGATACACCTTTATACCAAATTTGAATAAATTACCGAGTTATCGTGAATTTATTATTTTACTATCGTCGGCTTGGCACACGTGTGTTAATAAAACTGTACAGATCAAGAAGCGTCTTCAGACTTTACCTCTGAAAACAATTGATAAAGTAAGCGACATCATGAGATATGTTATTCTTATGACTATGAAACAACTATATACCTAATTTTAATTTGTTTTGTTGAAAGATGATTGAGTTATCGTGAATTTAATTCATACGATGTACAGATATTAAGCTATACGCCATGCCACATTTGTGTACGTAGGGCTTCGCATAGGCAGAGACGTGTATGTGTTATACGTCTCTGACATAGGTGAAGACAGTTAGAATATATTGCTATATAAACATTGATACACCTTTAATCAGCTGTGTCAAGAATAACATTATTGTATTTATTGAACAATTTAGATTTTAACTGTAACCCATTAAGAATACAGTTAACAATGTGGTGTTTTTTTTATTATGAATAATATAGTGGAAGGGGGATGCGTAATTTTCGAGTTTCTCAGGTCTTTTTGAGAAAGATGGTGGCCCTGAAACTTGACATGAACTTCTTGAATACATCACTATGTATTAGTGATATAGACGTAGCTCCCCCTTTACCAAAGAACAGGACATCGTCCAGTAATCCAGCCCTGGACCAATATCGATCCACATGTTATCAGTTATGCTAATCGGAGGTCAACACGACAGGTCATTGTGGTCTGAATATAAAAAAAATACTTATACGTATATAACGTGATTTGTTTTAATTTAAATTTCTCGAATTCAGAATTGAGTTTTGATTTTTTTTAATGAAACATGTATTCGTGTGTTGTACGATTCTTGACTTTGACCTGTGTGACCTCGTTATAGGGTCTGACGAGGAGAAAGCTTTAGTTAAGGCCATAGAAACCAGCTTCCCCGATGCCACGCTTACTTTCTGTACACGACACATACAGGAAAACGTTTCGAGACATTTGTCAGTTAAAATTGGCATGACTGATAAAGACAAGGCCCCGATCATGTCATCAATCTTTGGTGAAGATGGTTTATTGAATTGTGATTCAATAAAAGAATTCAATACCATTGCACAAAAGATTGATGAGTCATATGGAACACGCTTAGGAAGATATTGGTCAGAAAAGATTTTACCAACGATTAAGCGCAGGGTGATTGAATCGAGATTGCGCAATGCTGCAATTCCAAAAGGTTGGAAAAACAACAATTGCGAATCGATGAATCACATCATCAAATTTCTAGGGGACTGGCGGGAATTGTCAACGTTTGATAAAGCGCGCAAAGTTGACAAGTTCTAAAGCATGTGTGGAAGAAAACAGACTTTTTAACATCTACGAATGGTATGTTAACAATACCTAAAACCGCAGCAATCGCCAAAAAACCAGGGACGCGAAAACGTGTTCGCGTGAATCGCACAGAAGCTCACAGTCCTGTTAAACAACAAAAGTTGTAACTTAGTTACCTGCTGACAATTACGCTAAAAGAAGAACTTTTTTACGCTTTCACAACACTTGTGTGCCCGCAGGACGGGATTCAAGATGTGAAATTTTCTTCACTTTACATGCGAATACACACATGTGCCACGAAATTTGGTCCAGAGGTGTATTATAGTCATATTAACAACATATCTTCTGATGTCGCTTACTTTATCGATTAATTTTTGAGATATAGTCTGAAGACGATTTACGATCTGTAGAGTTCTAATCACACACTTATGCCACGCCGCCGATCGTAAAAATCAATTAATCATAACTCGGTCCTTTTTTCAAATATCGAGCTGAAATTTGGAATGTATATCATTAAAAGTCTAACTAATAAAATATCTTCTGATGTCGCTTACTTTAGCGAGTAATTGTAACGATATTATCTGGCGACGCTTTCTTCACTTTACATGCGAATACACACATGTGCCACGCCGCGATCGTAAAAATTCAATTCATCATAACTCGGTCATTTTATCGAATATCGAGCTGAAATTTGGTACAGAGGTGTATTATAGTCATATTAACAACATATCTTCTGATGTCGCTTACTTTATTCGGTATTTTAAAAGATTTTGTCTGGCGACGCTTGTTGTCACTTGAAGACGCTTGTTGTCGGTTGAAGACGCTTTTAAGGAGGACCGGTTCTAAGTATTATTCTTTCCTTCTTGTTTTTAGGCCAACAATAATACAGGGCCTGGACCAGGCGGACCGCCCAATCCAATGATGAGGCCTCCCTATGGTGTAAGTGATCATTTAAAATCGGGGTTCGTTCTGTTGACAGACAACTGTACAAATGAATATTGAATAAAGGTATTTTCCAATTATGAATTTTGAAAAATAGGCAAGTAGAGAAAAAAAAACTGGTGCTAAAATTTCAATAAGTCTTAGGTCTGGATACCCAAAAAATGACAAGACCTAACTGTGGGGTCAATAAAGAACTTTGGGGTGATATAGCTTTAGGAGGCAAAACAGCTTTTGGAGCGATATGGTTGTGCCATACCTGGGGCAAAATGAACTGAAAATTTTGTCTATTTGAAAAAATGTCGGGGCGAAATGGTCTGGGGGACAAGGCGTAGTGATTTTGGAGCAAAACATTGGATTGAAACACATTATTTTTAGCATTAAACAGTTAAAATGATTTGTTCAATCTAGTATATAGTAGGGTTGTCACAATATGCCAAGAGTATATCACGATATATTGCAATGTAGAATGTCTACCCCCACCATTGGAATTTGGGGTATACTCAGGATTATGATGCCCTATTTGATGTTAACACCAAAGATATTTCATGAACACAGTGAACAGATTTCTGATAACTGTTAAAGTTGCTCCAATGTCTTACATGTTATATTCTCATATCATCAGAGACCTGATATCTTGCATTTGTTTGCTGTATATATATAGATGGATTGAACGGCGTTTTTGTAATCTTCATGCTGGTATACGAATGGAATTGGTAACATCCATATTGCTAACAGGCTTCATGTTTAATATGGATGTAATCGATTTGCGTTCATACCAGCAAGAAATTTTTAAAAATGTCGTTCAATCCTTATAATTACATTTTTACTATAGAACAATTGTTTAATTTATTAACTGTGTTTTGTAAATGCGTCGTCCTTTAAACGACATTGGCGGGACAGCCCTATTTAAATAAAGTTGGCGCCAATAATTAACCATAATTGTTTGAGTGTTTGATGCAAAGACTTCTCCATGTTATCCGAAGCGACAAGACTCTCATTGAACAGGTTAACCAATGACGTCATAAGTAAACCACGTGTTACGTCACGAGAGTTTTCGCTTTCATACTCAAATGCTGGCAATGTTCATATCTTGGGTTGCAGCGCAAATGTAAATATACTTGTATATATACTTGGTTAACCGCTTGATGACATGGACTTCTCTACTTACTATTTAGATGCCACCAGGATTTATACCGCCCCCGATGGGGGGACCAGAGATGAACCCTCCTCCAATGATGCCACCTGGTATACCACCAGGAGGTAAGTAGATTATAAAGATTGTTCAAAAATTTGCCTTAAGACTGAAGATGTCTTTAGTGTATGTATTTTTCAAATTTCCTCCTTTATTGAATTTAGACCGTAAAGCAAGGTGTAACTGTAAGGAATTAGTGATTATTTCAACATTAAAAAAAGGGGGATGAAATATCAAGAGTCTCTGTCCAAAATAGACTTGACAACTGTGTAGATATTGTCTGAGAACGGGAACAAATGTAAAGCAAAGCAGTTATCACAACATATAACAAGCTGATTGTAAAGTGGTTATAGTTTGTTTTTTGTACCAGTTTAAGCTGTTACTAAATGAAATAGGTTTCTGCTGTATGCTAGATATTCATTGTAAGGCAGGGCTCACGCTGTCGGTAGCCAAAGTAGCCATTGGCTACTTTAATTTTTTACTGGCTACTAAAAATTCGATGTGGCTACTAAATTGACTACTAAATTTTTTAAATGGGGAAACTCTGTATCTTTGTCCCAGAAAACGATCCGTCTACTCGAGCTCACGTGTGTATTATGGCTGACACTGATTGCGTAAACATAATCAGGGCCGTCACAGATCAGCACGCGCCGTACGACAGCGAGTTATAATTAACGCTTTTGTCTAAGTTGTAAAGTCAATTATCAAGCTTTAGGTGGCAAAATGTGTTATAATTCTTGTACAATAATGGACAGTGGGGTCAAGTTAATTGGATGACCCATTGACGTTGAGAAAACAGTCTGATAAGCGAGTCACACATAGGTGGTCTCGCACACGTACATTTGACGGCGCCGTTAGTCGATCTGATAAACTCGTTCAAACACTGCATCCAACAAATTTATAGGTTCAGTATATTTAGATTAGTGTACATGGTATTCATTTACCTTTTCCAGTACCGTAGAAAGCATAAATACGTCCGATATGCTTGATTAGAAAGTATAAGTATCGCCTTGAAACACCATGCCGAAGTGGCAATTTTCGGGGCCTTTCTGATCACTTCAAACGATAGGCCCTATATCGTATCTGACTGTGTACCTTCGTGGTTAGACTTTTTAGAATTTCAAGTGATCGGAAAAATTATTTAGCGTCACAGTTATGCGGTTTTTAGAACAGCAAACCGTTCAGAATTACTTCGACGGTCGCTTGTAATAGGTGCCAATCGACTGCACGGGAATGGCCAAGTTGCGCGAAGTGATATGCTCCCGATTTATTTCGAAGGGTTGGTCAATACCGTTATAAATTCGTCCTTTTCCTTTAAAATGTGTTCTACTGCCATTTACATTTGAAATGTGTGATCTTTTTAAATATATTTATATATATTTTTTTACATAAAACATGAATTACGGAAAAATAATTATCAATATTGCATCACTACTTTTTATTTGGATTTTATTAGTTTTATTTTTTGATTGAAGGCACAGAATTAAAGGCGAAAAATATCTTAAAATTTAAACTTTCATCCTAGATTTTTTCACAACTCCTGTGTCGAGAAATGAGATAAAGTCTGAAAAAGTCTCTTTTGAAAAAAAAAAGTCCTGGTGGAAATTTCAGCATTTTAATTTAAATCATATTTTCTTAAAATTACAGCCATATAATCTGAAAGGATTAAAAAGATATCACATTATGAATTAAATTATTTATACATGATGTATAACAAAAAAAAAAAATTAACAGAGTACTCCTTAATCATCATATTGAATAGTATTGCACTTCAAAAAATATTAAATATTTAATGATTTTAATGGAGGGCCTATCCGTAACGGTTGGAGGCCGAGAAAGTATGGCCACTGTTTAGAAAAAATATTGGCTACTGAAATTCAAATATGGCTACTTTTTTGGCTACTGATATTTTAGGTCCAGGGTGAGCCCTGTAAGGCTACATTTGCGTATCCGGTTGAACCTGTAACGAAAACGACAGGCACAGATCTGAACCAAGACTGACCTCATGAAAATTTGGCACTCATAGATTGAGGGGTCCAGACGTACCTGACCGAAACTAAAATGCTGACTATTGCTAGTTTGCGTTATTTCTTTTTAAAACAATTTCAAGCCACATGTAGTTTTTAAGATACGTTACATGTATGTAATTCAGTGGACCCATGAAAGAAGGGCATAATATTCTTGATAAATTGTTATTTATTCTCCGAAACTGTGCACATTGTTATTTATTCTCCGAAACTGTGCACATTGTTATTTATTCTCCGAAACTGTGCATTTAGCTCTGCTTATATTATAGAACGGTCCAAGTGCGTTGGTTTATCATGGAATATTTCTGCACCACCTGTACCGTTTCAACCGAGATACGTGAATGTAACCTAAGTCTTATTAGAAGTGGATTACTTATAGACAATTTCAACTTAATAGGTTTGTGACAATTGCTGTTTTCATAAATTATCAATAACTGTAAATTTTTCCTAGGTTTTCCTCCAGCAGGCAATATTCCTCCCCCAAGGTTTCCTCCCAGTCTTCCTCCGATGTCTGGGGCTATGCCCCCCATGTTTCCTCCTGGTAAGTTTGTTGTTCAGTCCAACTGACCTTGTATGTATTTAATTGTGTTGGTTTTTGAATAAAATACTTTTTAATCTAAGAATGTCACATATAATGCCAGTTAGAATTGTATCATTAAAATCTGAACAAGAATTACATTTCACATGTTTTAATAAACATTATTCAGTTAACTTGGTACTCTTGAGAAAATTTCATTTTAAGATACAAATAAAATATATATGTGTATGGAGCTACTTTAATTGTTATACATATTTATAATTAAATGTATCTTAGTAGAAAGTCCATTGTCTACGTATACTGGTATACAAATATTCAATCTGATAACTGAGAAGGTGTATCAAAATTATTAAAGTGATTGCCTGAGATCTGGGACAAGAAGGTTTCAGGAATTCACTTGTCCATATAATATTTCACATGAAAATGATATTTTCCTGGTTGTCCTTAGCATCAAACAAGCATACTAATAAAATATGTTTTACTCCTGGATATATATTACCTGATTTTTACTTCCATGAAAGATAACTATACAGTAACTATTGTCTTAACTTGTTCTCATTCATAGTTATAATGATTTCTTACAGTTGATTTTATTTGACTCTTTGCAGGACCAAACCCTCAAATTTCCAACCTGGCTCACTCCGGTTCTGCTTCTAATTCCCCAATACTTGTTGATGGCAAACCAGATAAGGTAAAGATTGCTAGTAGAATTAAGATAAGAAAACAGATCTGGTAATATATTGATACATTTAACTGGATATTGCAACACATTTGTATTACAAAGTTTATTTTCAAATGAGGTATTATTACTCAACAATCATAAATTTAAATGATAAATAAAACCAATGTAATTTAGGGCTAGAAATTCAATTTGAAAGCCAGTAGTCTGTTGGGCTAGTAGTTTTCAACTTTATTAGTCCATATGCACTAACCCAGTATTATTCAACATGGTAAGTAATATAAAAACTTGACTAGTCAGTGGGGTGAGTAGTTTGGAGAGCCACTAGTCAGTGGGAGGAGTAGTTTGGAGAGCCACTAGTCACAGACAATCAGTCTGCCTTTGTTTTCAAGTCCTGTAATGTAACTATTGTAATCAATATAACAGTACAGTATCTGATAAAGAAATGTTTGGATATATGTATATCTTACTAGGTTACAAATTTCACACAAAATGCTAGAAAATGAAGGTGGAACAAAATATGGTTAGTTTAATTTGTAGCTTAAACATTGACTTCAAAATATTATTTGTCATTAAGTTGTTCACATCAGATTGTAATTGAAAGATTTAAAAGATTAACAAAAACAAATGGGGAAAAAAATAGTTTATTAATCACAGTGTTAGTTTTCTTGAACATAATATAGAAAGTGTTACTGGTATGGTAAATGTGAATCTGTGTATGTTTACATTGGTTACAGAAGCCGTTGTGGACTGAGCACAAGGCACCCGATGGCAGGACTTACTACTACAACAATATCACCAAACAGTCGAGCTGGGAGAAGCCAGACGACATAAAAACCAAGGCAGAGGTAATAATCTGAGCTTTAAATTAAAACATTTGTGAAACATTCATCATATTGTTAAATAATATGTAATATTTATTTGTTATTCTTGCTTGTTAACCTTTCACCCCTATGTAACTTCAGTAGACTACCATGCATTGATATGGATGAGTCCATTTTGGTATACAGTGGTGGAAGGGTTGATATTTTAATTCTCTGTTTAATAGTAAGGCTCTTTAGATCATAATTCTTTATCTTAATGTGATTAAAACCCTTCAATACTGATGATTATAGATATGAATGATTGTGAATCCTCTGGTAAATAAGGTTGATCTTGTGAGTAGCCTTCAAAGTTATGTCGCACTGATTTCAGACTTTTTCAATATTTTAACCCTTACATTTAATTTGACAGTTACAACTGTCACAGTGTCCCTGGAAGGAGTACAAGTCAGACACAGGGAAGGTGTACTACCACAATGCCCTCACTAAGGAGTCCAAGTGGACAAAGCCAAAGGACCTAGAGGAACTTGAAGGTCAGTGGTTGCTCTAGTGGAAAGAATACTCACAAAATGGCTGTTAAATAAATCAAATAATGGAAAGCCTGCTGGTTCTTATAAACGAGGATTTTTCTAATTGTTTACAAAACATACAAATGTATTACATAGCATGATTCTTCTTGTAACATTGCCATATTTTCATATAGTTTAAAACAAAAACACTTCAGAAGAATTTTAAGTAGATCAGTTCGGCATGGCGCAGGTGTATACTATTTCACTCCTTTCACTTGATTATGTGTTTATACATATTGTTATTGTGAAGTATTTGATGTTTTTCTTCAGAAATTGTTAAAGGTGAAGCAAAGTAAGTATATTTTTATTTTTATTCTGAAGAACTATTTGGTTTACTAGAAACTCCTTTGTTGATTTTTCATACCAGTCCCCATTGGTAATGACATCAAGCGGGTTTAACAGCATTTTTTGTAAGTTTGCCTGCCAGCATTCAGGGCAACTTCTTCCAGACCACAATACAGGGTCTTAAATGGATAGATTTTGTTAATGTTTGAACAAGTCTTTGTGAAAGCATTAAGTGTCTACATTAAGTTACCTGCTTGTATGTAAAATAGAACAAAGAACAGTATGACAGAAGCCTTCTAGAAACCATTAGTGTTCTGTCACACAAACTCACTTATGTTGACATAATTATTCAGAGAAATAGTCGGCCCATTTGAATGTTCCGAGTTGTTCAATTTCCTTCACAAGAAGACACCTCTTTGTATAATCTGTTGTATCCTCTATCCATAGAAAAAAAGTAATGGGTGACACCTCCAGGACAGCCACCCCGCCTGTCACAGCTGTTCCACCAGCAGGGATAACTCTACCTGCACAGCCCTCCAAGCCCTCCTCAGCTATTCAAGCTGCCATGGAAGCTACACTGGCGTCTATAGAGCTTCCTCCTCCCTCTGGTGCAGCCACTGTAGTGGCACCTCAAGAGAAAGTAGACAAGGTGGACAGTGAAGATGAGAGTGAGGATGAAAAACCACCCAAAAAGGAAGTGGTTCCAATGGTGTTTAAGAGCAGAAAGGAAGCCATGGAGGCATTCAAGGCATTGCTGAGGGAAAAGGTGGGGAACCCTTAGAAAAATATTAAAAAATGTATTTGTTTGATTGATTATATTCTTGTCCTGCAAAAATAATAATCATTGACTTTATGTCTACAGTATTCCTCATCCATGATACATTTTGCATTTACCGTACTCAGAAAAAAGTTTTAATGTTCATTTAAATTTTTTGGTTTTTGAGGAAAGGCAGATTATCATAAGGTGATGCATTGATTTGTGTGTTGATTCTATAAGTTTCTGTAATTACAGTCTGTGTCGTCTACTGCCTCGTGGGAGCAGGCCATGAAGGTTATCGTCAATGACCCTCGTTATGGTGCCCTCAAGCAACTCAACGAGCGCAAACAGGCCTTCAACGAGTACAAAACACAGAGAGTCAAGGAAGAAAAGGTCTCTATCAAGTGATGTCATTATATCATTATCTTAGATGTAACTTCGAAAAATTCCTTGAATAGTTGGTTAAGGTTACTTGATGCTGTGTGTATTTTTTCTCTGCATAATATTCACCTTTTTATGGTGAAATTCTTTTACACTCCATGTTAATTCTGTCCATCACAGTTGAAATACCATGTAAAAGTAAGCTGTATAATGGTAAAATGGACAATGCAATCAAGAATTGTTAGCCCAAAATGGGAAATATTCAAAAGACAACTTTTCAAAAACAAATTTATACTTTGTGTTTGTTAATTTGATTTATTTTGCGTCATTCCAGGAAGAGCAGCGATTACGAGCTAAACAAGCCAAGGAAGACTTGGAACAATTTTTATTGCACAGTGATAAAATGAACTCTGGCATAAAGTATTGGTAAGCATGTAAGGCTTTCATAGAGGTAAACGATGATTTTGATGATTTATGTGTCTGCTGTAGCCTTAGGTACATCCACAATACACTTCTGTTTTACCTTTACAAGAGTTAACCACACTTCTTTAGTTTTGCCAAAAATAACAACAAATTAAATTGATCCTCATGTCCTTTATCTTAGACATGTATACGATTGAAGTGATGATATATGCCAATACTCTGTGTTGACTTCTCTTCATGTGAAGATTGAAATGGCTTTTGTTTGTGTGAATACTGCTGAAATGTTTTCCTTGTGTATACTGTTTTGACCTTTTTCTAGTTGAATAATTAGGTGACTTGTGTATACCATGATGATTTTCCTTTAGGGAGAATAATAAGATGACTTCTCTTGTGGTGAATACCAAAATCACTTTTGAATGAGACTACTTCAGAGCTTTCTCTGAATACTGCAGTGATCCTGTGTGTATCTGCTGAAGTGCTTTCTCTGTGAATACTGCAGTGACTTTTCTTTTTGTTGACTACTGAAATGACTTTATGTGAACCCTGAGGTGCTGTTTCTGTACTCCACAGGAAGGCAGATGACATGTTTGGAGGGGAGGAGGTTTGGAAGGTAGTACATGACCGTGACCGCCGGGAGCTGTTTGATGATGTAACTCATATGTTGGCTAAGAAAGAAAAGGTACAAAGTCATAATAGAAGGAATAACTTTAGACAATTATCTTCATTTCAAATTAAGTAAATTTGATAAAAGATAAAATCTTTGTTTGAGAATATCTTCATCATTTCAAACTTAGTAAATTTGATTAAAATATAATCTTTGAGAATATCTCCTCCATAATTTGTTGGAAAATAAAGCTATAATTGAATTACAGGAAGAATCGAAGGCACTACGCAAGCGTAACACGAAGGTGTTTGCTGAGATCCTGGACAGTATGCCCAGTCTTACTTACTGTACAACCTGGTCAGAGGCCCAACAGATGTTACTGGACAACCCACGCTTCACAGAGGACCCAGACCTACACAGTATGTATACCTGTGGAAATAAGCCTAGTTTTACTTCCTGTATACCAGGAAATTGTCACCCAGCCAAACTTTTGCCCTTCGTTAGGAAAATCATATTCCCCAGTGTTAGTTTGGCACTTGACATTTGACTGCTATGCATAGTATGCAGTTTACGAATGTTTGCTGTAATGATAAGTTTGCCCTCATTACATCGGCCAAAAAAAAGTGAAAATAAAAATGCAGCAAACATTTCCTGGTACATGGTATATTTCTGAAAAACAGCTTAGGCCAAATAAAATTAATTACTTTGTTCTCAGGCCAATTTTTTTCAAAAGAGATGCGGCAGTTTTTTTTTCATTTTTTTCATTTTACATGGCAAAAACGAGACGAGAGTGATTTTTGTTTTATTGTGTAGTTTGTAAAACGTTCATTGTTGGCATTACCTTGTCTTTTTATAGTTGTGTAGAGACCCGTCATAGAGCAAGCCTCCGAAAATCCCCTCACGATGTCCCAGACAGGAACCACGAACCCCCCATTCCTTATTTGTACCGAAATGAGCGCCATTTGTACACAAGACTAATAAGACATAATCATTTTAACGCTTGCCTGTATATCAATCCTTATCTTTATTCAAACATTTTCGGGACTTGGGTGACTAACGAGTAAAAACGACATGCAGACCAATTTTCCGGATTTTTTTAAAGACGGCGGCTGGCGCATTCACATTTTTTTTTTATTACTTTCACATTAAAATCGGCAATGCGGTGCCCTAAAATGAAATGCGCGCGGGCCTGAGAACCAAGTAATCATATATTTTTTTGGCCTAATGAGATGTTTTGTGTGGATTGCACACAAACAATAAAATGGTATAGTTTTTGGAATACTTAAATGAGAATTCAGTATTTAAATTGATATTTTCTGCAGCTAAACAGAATATTGTCAGATAAAACTTTTTAAAAACTGGAGGTAATTTTAGTAGTTAACATTATGCCATATGATCTTGTATCAAATGAAAAGGGGAACAAACTGAAACATGTATTAAGCTTTTTAACCTTACGTTGGATATTGTCTTGTCATTTATGTACAAATACAGACCATTTATTCTATGATCATAAGTGAAACTAACTATTTGTCAACAGACATGGACAAGGAGGATGCCCTGGTGTGTTTTGAGGACCACATCCGCATGTTGGAGCAGGAATTTGACGACGAAAAGGAGAGAGAAAGGCGACGGGTTAAACGCCAGCAACGCAAAAACAGGGAAGGATTTCTGGTAAGGTCTTGTTGAATCGTTGTAAATTTTGATTGAAAAGAGCCAATTACAGATTTAAACAAAATAAAACTTGTATGAACTAAAGACAAAATAGAAAATGATAATATTAATGTTTTTGATGAGTTTTCAGGTCTTGTTGGACGAACTCCATGAACAAGCCAAACTAAACTCCATGTCTCTTTGGATGGACCTGTACCCAGTCATCAGCCAGGATGTCCGTTTTACCAACATGCTTGGACAACCAGGATCTACACCTCTGGATCTTTTCAAGTTCTATGTTGAAGATCTCAAAGCCAGATTCCACGATGAGAAGAAGGTTGTCAAAGAAATATTGCGTGACCGGGGATTTTTGGTGGAGGTATCAACGTCATACGAGGATTTTGCTTCAGCCATTATCATGGATAAACGGTCTATGGGATTGGACACAGGAAATATCAAGTTAACTTACAATAGTGTAGGTAGACTGAGGAAATATCAATACTTTATTGACACAAAATCATTTATCATGAAAGGTCTTCTTTACTTTGCATGAAGATATCATTGTAAATATGACTTTACTATTTTCAGAATATAATGTGATATTTTTGTGTTATCTCCCTTGTATCTCTGATGACATAACAGTATTCATGGCCTATCTTTACAGACCACGTCAACTAAATGGTAAAAAGGTTATCACGACCATTTAAAGGTCATTTAACATGTTTAAAAGAAAAATTACTGATGATTCTCAACTGCATTACACATACTTATATTTTGTTTCACATAATTATAAGATAGTAGATTTGAAAGATTGAGTACAGGTTTATTGTTTTAACATTCCAAAATACTCTTTATTTTGATATTAACATTCAGATATGATAACTTGGACCATATGGCAGTCATCGAAAAATTCAATTTGTACCTCTTATTCATTTTGGTCTTTGGAAATTCATCTAAATATGGATAACTGACCAAATCTTAGACTGCAGTATGGCCCAAAACATTACGTAATACTTCTTACTTGCTTGATTTACTCATATTGAATTAAAATTGGTGAAAAATAATTAAGTCATGTAATTGAACATCATTTATTTAACATCTTTCAAACTTGATGATGTTAGATTTGAAAAACTTTCATTTGTAAAATTTTGCAAAATATGTTTGAATTTGTAATTTTAACCGTTACACTTCTCTGATGCTGGTTCTGTTTTTCTCAGTTGATAGAAAAGGCTGAAGCGAGGGAACGGGAAAGGTTGAAGGAGGAGGCCAGGAAGGTAAATCATATTGTCTGATGGGTATCACTTAAAATATAGCAATGATCAGCAGAGTGGCAATATCCACATGCCTCATACACAATAAATGATTACCATTGGGATGATATTTTCGTAATTTCGTGGGCAAATACATGATTGCGAAAATATGAATCACAGAATAATATGACAAGCATAAAAATATATATATTTTATATTCAAGAAATATTCACTTTATGCACACACTTAAAATGTTTAAAGTTGTGCTTAATAGAATATACCACTCATTAATAGAATATGTCTGTATTTCTGCAAAAGTCTTGTGCTTAACTTCAAAAATCTTATCCTCAGGTGGGGATTTCACAATCTTCATCACACAGGAATGATTGATTATTTTTCTTCCACACTTTCCTACTGTTTTTATCATGTGCCTGTGGAACGTGTGACACAATTGTTGATACTTCCCTGGTCTTGCAGTATCAAGTGATGATGCAATGGTGACATTTTTAAAACAAAAGGAAATTTGACCTATTTTTTCCTAGGTAAATGTAGCAGTCGGTAAAGACATGTTTATCTTTTCCCAGGCAAAAAAAAGGATGTTTTTGTGGATTGTGGGAGAAAAAGGGGATAAACATAGGAAAATGTATAATTGTATAGTATGATATAATTACTGTGTCTCCTCATAATTTATATTATCTCCTGCAGTTGCGAAAATTGGAAGGAAATTTCAAGAACATGTTGAAGAATTTGAACCCACCGATTGAAGTTGAAAATCGCTGGGAGGAGGTGAGATATCAAATTTATTCTCTATTTTGTTTTAAATCGCAAAATATCTATAATTATTAGGTCTAGAAGAAGTATCCATATAAGCGCAAGCTAAGTTTTGGTAATTCAGATTTTTTTTAGATTAAAAGGGTCAAGAATTTATGGAAATATACCCTTGCAGGGCTAGAACTTAGTTTTCCAAACTGTTAGTCATTCAGGTTAGTAGTTTCCGAGTATTCTAATCCTTGTACAAATTCCACTTACCCAATGTTGTTTGTCATTGGTATATATAAATATTAAATTTAGTCAATTAGGCTAGCTGTTTTTAGAACTACTAGTCCAGCTGGATGTTTCACTAGTCTCAGACTAAGTTGGCCACCCTTATTTTCTAGCTCTCCCATGTGAGAGTTGGAAAGGGTTTAGAAAAAAAATCTGACTCCCCTCCAATATTAGCTGTTGACTTTCCCCTGCATGCATTGTGTAGGTACGAGGACGCATTGAGAAGGAGTCAGCCTATGATGCCATTACCCTGGAGGCAGATAGGATGCGATTGTACAAAGAGTTCCTTGTTGTTCTGGAGGAAACATGCTACCATCAACACTCCAAAAAGAAGAAGTCCAAAAAACACAAAAACAAACGATCACGCTCAAGGTCCAAGTCTGTGAGTATAACGGTGTTATGGCTCACATTTTATACAAAAATATTAACTCCTTCACAAGATGGTTGTGGAGAGGATATAGAGATATGTTTGTACACATGTGTCATAACTCTAGCGACTTCATTTCAGAACACATTATGATCTGATCACACTTCCTGTATTAGTCAATATGAGAATGCTTGAACAAGTTCATGTTTTAGGGTGTCAAGGTCACTGTTACTTTGTATTAAAATTCTTGTCCATCACATTAGCAACTTCAATTTTGAATGTATTTTGATCAAACTAAAACTATTTGTAATATATGAGAATGCCTTAAACATATTTGTGTTTCAGGGTTCCAAGATCACTTGTTATTCATAAACATTTTTGCTAATATTGCTCTAGTGGTTTGATTTCTCTGAATAGATTTTGGTTAAACATTAAAAATTGGCCAGGTATGATAACACCTAGAACAAGTTTGTATTTTAGGCTGTAAAGGTCACCATTACTGTTTTAGAAAATCTTTGATATCTGTCCAGCAACATTTTACTTCTTAAAGTTCATTATAAGGTAAATACGAGAGTGCCAGAGCCAGTTCATGTGTCAGGGTGTGAAGATAATCTCATGCTGAGAAATGTGCATCTTATGTGATGCATTGTCTTATGATGCATTGTCTTATGTGATGCATTGTCTTATGTTGATTCTGCTGATTTTTGAATGCACTATACAAATCTTTATTGTCCATCATTTCAGCCAATCAGCGAGTCCGAGGAAGAACAGCAATCCTCACGACATAAATCAAAGAAAAAGAAAAAGTCACGATCAGAATCAAGGTCAAGGTCGCCCAGCTATATATCAGAATCAGGTAAGTCAATATTGACTATTTTTCCTCTTTATTTCATATTGATATATGTGCATTGTTCTAATACACACAAAAAATCTGTTTCATTTTTGTTCCTTACTTGGTATTTTTAGCCCACCATCATCATCATATTTTGAGAGTTAATTTTTGTTATTGCTATTTCTCTTGACAGATGTTTCTCAAATATCATATGGAGGTTCTCCTTGGTCCATAATTGTGCATGTATTTTTTTAATTGCAAAAGCAAGATGTATTTTGACATTCCAGGAATATTATCCCTATTTCCTGGGAAATACTTAACAGATCGTTCTCATATTTCAATGATTGGTTCTATTTTAGTTCTGTCGGGTGCATTTACTGTTAACATGACTCAAATAAACAGATTAGAAAAAATGATGAGAGTGACATAGAACTAATGAAGTTGGTATGATGGTAGGCACCAAAATCCCTCTGGGATCTCTTGTTAAGCATTATTATGATATTTTTGTTCTTTTAATTGCTTGGTAAAATATTTTGTAAAATTATGAAGACTACAATTTATAAGGCAATCACCTTAACAAAATCCCATCCCAATGGGCTGTAATAGTTCATAATGCTCAAACTAAAAGCAACATTCTAGCTTTTATCTTTTGAATTTGAATTTACTTATGTAAAATTTATTTTTGTCTCACCGCAACGAAGTAGGGGGAGCAAGACTAAGGTGTTGCTTATCCGGCGACAGCGGTGTCAACATTAAGTTTTTGCATTTAACTTAGTTTCACTAAAAGTATAAGTACTTGGACCATTGGTGCATCTTAGGTAGTACATCTTCTTGCATCAAATGCTGAATGCGGTCTACCTTTCATGGTCCATTGACTTTGTCAGCATCTCCATCCACATTAAGGTTTTGCATTTAACTTAGTTTTTCCAATATGTGCATTTATGGTCAAAGTGGGGCACATATAAATCCTAATTGCTTGTTTATAGTGAAAAAATGCATACCTTTCCAGCAGTGAAATGAAGTAAAATACCAAAATAAATTGAACAGCTCTCTTAATGTGTCACTTGATGCTAAAGAAAAGCATGTTCCTTAAGAGGGAAGGTATTAGAGTTGAATGGATGGCTGAATAGTAGTCTTTGTTTTTTTTAGACCATGACAGAGACGAACGAGAAAAGAGACGACACAAAAAGAAATCAAAGAAGAAGAAACACATGTCTCGATCAGTAAGTACTATATTGACATGTGTATTCCCTGTTCTACTGCATTTGTATTTATTGTTGTGCTTTAACTAAGAGTTCAATTAAACATCAATAAATATAAATCCAAGGGACAAAAACATTGTCGACAGTGTTATTTGTGATATTTTTTACCTAAATAAAAACTGTTAACAAGGAAAATTTACTTTACTTTTTTAAACTTTCCAAAACGGCATTGGTCTTATTGAATCTCCATGATTAATATTTCATCAAAAAACAAAACAGGACATAAATATGTCTACCACGTAGTTATGCTTCTAAGATTTAAAATTTTGGTCAATATTTTGATTAATGACATCCAAACCGTCCTCAACATGTAGTCTAGTATTGAATGTGAAAAATAAAATTTATGTTGAAAAGTTTGGCTGAAAATTTAGAATGATATGCTGTAAAATTGTGATGTGGCTTGATTGATGCATTATTGTACTATTTAAAGCACATTATCTGTAACTTGTGTATTTTCTTTGTATTTTCTTGATGTTGCATGACTTTCATACATCTGTGATTTCTCCATACTGACACTTCATAAAGGATTTGAAACCGGTTAATGATAACAAACATGGTAATATTGAATCATTTTGATTCTACTAATAGACTGTTGGGGATTTTATTTTTTTTAATTATGAAGTTGTTAGTTCAGGGCACATTACTTTGACAAGTAACTGATAAATTTACTTCAAACTTTTGAGTTATTATCATACACTTATAAAGTCTACGCATATAAAAATACCAAAATAGAAAAAAGTCTTTTTTTTTGTACAATTCAAAGCGAAACTATTTAAATTCTGAAATAAAAATGATAAATTACAGAACAAGGTAAAACATTCCTCATTAGTACCGCCAGTATTGTTCAAGTGATCCTGCTATGAAGGTAGAGGACAGGTTTTAACTTTACTGATGCTAATTTATTAAAAATATTACTGTTTGAAAAACTTCGGCAAAATATTCAGTTATTCACAGTTCATCTCAATATGGCCATCATGCCTACTGTGTTGATTGGCCATTACGAATGTAAAAATAATCAAATGTTTTTTTAATTCTATAAAAGTGTTTTCTGTACAACCTATTCCCCCATTGAATAGCTTTTTCCATGCATGAGCATGTTCTAAAACAGTATATGTTTGGATAACAATTTCTGTTGTATATTTGTATGTTAGGTGTTTGTATTTAATATTAGTTTAATCATTTTAAAGTGCGTCTAGTTTCCATAGATACCTTATATCCATATATAACAGGTCATGTTGTTCATGGCACATGACAGGTATGTTTTAGACATTTATATGTAGTTAGGTATGTAACAAGTATCCTAAAATATAATTCCCTTGTATCAGTAACACTAGAGTAAGACTTTTTGTTTTATTTTGAAAGTATAAACCCAATATAGCAATGCAGAACATAAGATTTCCCTGTGTAAAAGAAAATCACATTTAAGTCAAAATTAAAATTAAAAGAAATAAAATAAAGAAGAATGAGATATTAAGTTAAAAAAACATTGATGACTCCTACACATAAATGAATCCTTTTTCATTCTCTATACCTATATATGGTAAATAACATCATCATCCGTGTATGTGTGTCGATCGTTGTTATCAAAATTAACAAGAAATAGAGATAAGGAGAGGTAGAGGTAACCTGATACTCTTCTGTCATTGCATATAAGGGGAGGTAATCAGATTGCCTCATATCATTAGAAACATAAGGATGAATTCTGATAGCTTATCATCACTTGAAATAAGGAGGGGTAGTATAATAATCACTCATCATTTCAGGAAATAACGGGAGATAATCTGATACCATACCATCAGTAAAGATAAGGGGGTATTCTGATAATTACTAAAAATAAGGGGAGGTAATCTGATACCAAACCGTCATTAAAAACAAGGGAGGTACATGTAATCTTGAGAATCGGTTAAGACAAGGGGAGGTAGTCTAGCTTCCCTGCCATAAGGTAAGATTGTTTGATGGGTTTGGTTTGGTTTGGTTTGGTTTTATTTTGTTAAACGTCCTATTAACAGCTAAGGTCATTTAAGGACGTTATGGTCCAATCGTTAGAGTCCTATGTATGTGTCATGAGTACATCTTGTATTTTAGGACTCGAGTGGCAGTGAAGCAGATCGGAATGATTACAAATCCTCTAAGTCAAAGAAACGGAGGAAAGATAGATCGAGGGTAAGTTAGGAGAATAGAGGGAAAATTGGACTAGAATTAGCTGAAAGTCAAACATATTGAGAAAATATGGTAAGTTAGATATCTAGCATACAAAAGAGACAGATATTGACGATGACAATAAAATACTCTATCTACACATGTTGCTTCAAGATAATGCAACCATGATGGTTGAACCTGTCTTAAAACAATCAAAAAGAGTTGTAGCTTAGCTATGGATCATACATACTTTGTAGATAATAAGTTAGGAGGATTAAGGGTCATTTAGGTTTTAGATAAGCCAATAAGGAGGAATATAGAACGTACATTTTGTTAAATCTGATTTCTCTCTTGCACTTCTTACAAAGAAATTTCACCTTTATGCAGCCTTTCTGAAATCTTTACTAGACATCTAATGGCATATTTCACTTGATCTTGCACAGGGAATATCAGTCCGACAACCGTTTGTGGATTGTGTAAAAGGAAATCATTTTCCATGATTTAAAAATTTCATATCTTAGGTTAGTGAATTGCGTTGCTGTATGCTCAAGCAAAAATAATTCCATTCAGTACAATGAAGCATTAGAAGCACTGCCTAGGAGATGGAACTACGTTCTGCATTTGCACCAGTGTCATTGATATTGATTTCATACATGTGACTTTAATCTCAAAAATTTGGTCAATATTAAAAAAGGTGAATTTGATCACCTTCTCCGAAAAAAGTCCAATGATAGCCTTTGTGTAATACAATTCAAGCAAAAATAATTTGTTATTTACGTTTGTTTGTAGGTGATGCTGCTTAGTTTAATGGCTTCATTGTGACCTGTTACTGTAGATCCCCACTCAACTGAAATGTTATTTAGTATTGATTAACAGATCAATAGGTTTTATATATAAAACACAGTGTAGGAGGTTTCAACAGGGATGTTGTTGGTAGTTTTGTTTAAGGGAATGTAAGGGGGGTGGATTTTAAACATTTTAAAATGTAACCATTATGAAGAACCTAAACAGATCATTATTCGATATATTGAAAATTAGAAATGTAATTAATATGTTCTAAAATTCTGGATTTCAAAATCTCACTTTAATAAAAAAAATCTAAAATCCCTTGATTATGGCACAGGTTACCTGATTACTGTTTTGTTTAAGATTCCTAAACACTAGTACCTATTTTCACTGTAGAAGCCCCACACAACTGGTGCATGTGAGCGTGCAGTGAGTTCTTTGTTTATACCTTGCTTGTGCTTGTGCTTGTTCCAACAGCCAGAAATGTTGAAATTTGTTTTAGACCAATATTTCCCATTGCACGGCAATGCCAATATATATATATATTTATAAAACACAATCAAAGTGAGTCGACCATTATATATATATGAGCTTTAAATGCCCTGACCCAGTTTTTACTTTACTTTGACAGTGAATACATTCCACTGACCCTTGTAACATTGCTGTTCAAAGTTTTATCTCACCTGGCCCATGGGCTTATGCCATGACGCATTGTCCGTTGTTAGTTTTTAGCTCACCTGGTCCGAAGAACCATGGTGAGCTTATGCCATACCGCAGCATCCGTCCGTCAATTTTTCCTTTAAAACGCTACTAGTCCTACGGCCAAGTAGATTTTGACTGAATTTGGTCTGGAGTATCCTTAGGCCAAGGGGACTCAATTTTGTATAAACGGTGGGTGTGGCCCCCCCTGGGGGCTGAGGGGTGGGGCCCCATAGGGGAAATAGAGGTAAAACCTTGAAAATCCTTCTTCTACCATAGGGATTAAGGGATTTTATTCTAATTAAGTCTGGAGCATCCTTGGGCCAAGGGGACTCAATTTTGTATAAACGGTGGGTGTGGCCCCCCTTGGGGCTAAGGGGCGGGGCCCAATAGGGGAAATATAGCAAATTCTTTAAAATCCTTCTTCTTCTGTAGGAATGCAAGGATTCGTTCTATATTAGGTCTGAAGCATCCTTGGGTGAAGGGGAAGCAATTTTGTATAAACCGTGGGTCTGGCCCCCCAGGGGCCCAATAGGGGAAACATAGCAATTTTTTTTTTTAAATCCTTCTTCTTCTGTAGGAATGAAAGGATTTTGTCCATATTTGGTGTGGAACATCCTTGGGTAAAGGGGAACCAATTTTGTATAAACGGTTGGTGTGGCCCCACTGGGACTTGAGGGGCGGGGCCCAATAGGGGAAATAGAAGTAAAACCTTTATAATCCTTCTTCTACCATATGGATTAAGGGATTTTATCCTAATTTAGTCTTGAGCATCCTTGGACAAAAGGGACTCAATTTCGTATAAACAGAGGTTTGGCCCCCACAGGGGGCAGAAGGGAGGGGCTCAATAGGGGAAACATAGCAAATTCTTCAAATACTTTCTTCTTCTGTATGAATGACAGGATTTTGTCCAAATTTGGTATGAAGCATCATTGGGTGAAGGGGAACCAATTTTGTATAAACGGTGTGTCTAACCCCCCTGGAGGCAGAGAGTCGGGGCCCAATAGGGGAAATAGAGGTAAAACCTTTAAAATCCCTCTTCTACCATAGGGATTAAGGGATTTTATCCTAATTTAGTCTGGAGCATCCTTGGGCCAAGGGGACTCACTTTGTATAAGCAGTGGGTGTGGTCTCCCAGGGGGCAGAAGGGTGGGGCCCAATAGGAGAAATAGAGGTAAAACCTTTAAAATCCTTCTTCGACCATCGGGATTAAGGGATTTTATCCATATTAAGTCTGGAGCATCCTTGGACCAAGGGGGTCTCAATTTTGTATAATTGGTGGGTATGACCCCCTAGGGGCATAAGGGTTGGGCTCTGTTTGAAGTTTGTTCTGGCTATATCTCAGTACTGGATGGATCTTTCTGAAATTTCATATGTACTACCATGGAGTGCTATATCTTTACTTCATACCAATTATTTTAAACATATTCAGGTGAGCGATACAGGCCCTCTAGGCCTCTTGTTTTAAACCACAAAGCAAGAAATGTGGAAGGAACTTTGATCAAATTTTGTCTGAAAAATCTTTATTGGACAGGGTTTTAAAATGATGAGAAGAAGTTGCTGACCCCCTTGGGAGTTGATGGGGTAGCCTAAAAGGGGTCATTTGGCCATATTGCTTTGAGTGAAATCCCTTCTGAACAATGAGATGAATATCAACCATTTTTGGTTGGAAGCAATCTCAGGTGATAAGAAACATGTACTCAAGAAAAATATGTACATTCAAGGAGTAAGAAGATTTAGATATATATGTGTTTCTGGTCCCACCCCTGTAAACTTATAATTGCAAAATTTTAACATGAATAATATGCCTTGTTGCTCAAATACCCAATTGTGCATAATTGGCCCTCCTAACCTCTCATTTGAAAAAAACATACAAGCTATAATTGATATGAAATAAACTCCAACTGGTGTTATAAATCTTATTATTCATAATTGAATATAAAAGTTAATAAAAATGGTAAAATGATGGATTAAACTGATTATAACTCCATGTTGGCATTCATAGTCAATATTAATATCAATCTACAATGTTCAAAGCTTGATTCAACCCCCATTTTGTTGTTAGTTGTATGTGTTTTGGTACCCGTTTGTCAGATTTATATTTGTGCTTGCTGTGGTGGTCGGTGAGGTTTGCTCTTTTATGGGTTTGTCGTATGGTTTTCCTGGCACACAGTTTATTGTTTTTGTTTGAAGAAACAAGGTTAAATCTGTGCCATTTTGTAGTAATTTTCCTCTAAAACTGGGGAATACAATTCATTGGAAGACATGAGTTTCATACAGCCATGGACCAAAAATATTTCCTCACCTGTTTTTTTTCTACAGTAGATATTCCATGCATTTTACCTTTTTTACAGAATTTTCCTGAAGTCATTTTGGTACTTCACAATTTTTTTCAACCTGAAAGTGTTGTTTTTATTTCAATCTAACAATATTGATATATTTTTCCGTTACCTGGTTTTAAAGATTCTTTATTAAAAAACAAATGGTGTGTTATTTCTTCATTGTCGTAACCATCTTATTGCAGAAAAATGGTTATTCTTAACTAACCAAGTTTTATTAACATAAAGTCATATCTTGGTAGCATAACTATTGACTTCAGAAAATCTCAAATGAAAAAATGTAGAAATTGCATGAAATGGTGAAACTCTCTTCATCTGTTACTGTAGAACAGATACAGAAACTTTTTAAATATTTGTATACACTATAAAAATATTGATGAAAAAGACCATTGTAGACAGAAAGAAAAAGAAAAAGGAGGTGTTTTATTAAGGGAAATATGTTTACAAAGGGTGATCTCAGTGTGGGGAAGTCAGAGAAACAGTTAGGTTGCTTTTGTGTTGTGTCTTATTGAGGGTCAACACAATCTCTTCTCTTACCCTGGACAGGTGTATCCACACTTTTACCGGTGTGAGATATCCTTGTCTCATCCTAGGGTTGCGACGGGGGGATTCCCCTATTCATAACAATGGTATGACGTCACTTCAACAATACAATGATGTCATGTCAACAATCCATCAACCCTGAATTTAGCATGTAACGTTATCATTACATTGTGAATATGATACACATTGGGAGAACAGGGTAAAAGTAAAAGAATCATTCGACCCCTTGTGGGTAAGATAGGGGAATCTTAACCCTCGGGGAAAGATGCTTAAGTTGCCAAACATAAGAATCTTCCCCCTCGTGTTGAGATTCCCCTATTTCACCCCAAGGGGTGAGAGATTCTATTAGTCTCATCATAGGGTTGAGGGGGGCGTGGGATTCCCTTATTCATAACTAGTGTATGATGTCACATCAACAATACAATGACGTCACAGACTCGCGTCAACAAACTATCGATGTCACGCCAACCCCGAGTTTAGCCTGTAACATCAACATTTCATTATGTACATGTATATGATACACAATGGGTGAACAGGGTAAGAGAAAAAGAATTGTTTACCCCCTTGAGGGTGAGATAGGGGAATCTCAACCCTCAGGGGAAAATTCTTAAGTTACCAAACACTCGACGAAGCCCCATGTTTGGCAACTTAAGAATCTTACCCCCAAGGGGGTGAAAGATTCTATTAATCTCATTGTGTTAGAGATATTGATTAAACATTGCTGTATGTTGTGTTTTATAGAGGAGAATGACACAGAATGACCTTAGTGTGGGAAATTTATGAAACTAATAAAAAATTGTTGTGTGTTGTGGTTAATAGAGGACACAGACTGATCTTATTCTGGAGATTTAGAAACTGATTAAAGATTGTTGTGTTTTACTTCATAGGGGACGCAGAAAAAAAATAGTTTCTGGAATTACAGAAACTTATTAAAGATTGCTGTGTGCTATGATTAATTTGGGGAAGTGCTGTGGTAAATTTGGGGACACAAGGACATAAAGAGATCTCACTGTAGTGGAAAGCAAAACTGATTAAAGTATTCCCTGGTGTGTCGTAAAACATCTGGTGTGAAATTTAGGGACTATGATTATAACTCTAAACATGTTTTACAGGGGGACTATGACACAGAGAGCGATGTCAGCGAGGGAGAGCTAGAGAAACGCCGCAGACTGCTGCTCCAACAGCTTGCTGCTGACCAGTAAACCTAATACTGACCTCTACGAGACAGGAAGTGATGACCAGTGTCGGTGGAGCCAATATGCCAGACAAAAGGAACAACATGTGCCCAAAGACAAGAACTTATTGTGTTTTATATTAACAAGGAACAAAGTTATGGAGGTCAACGACTGTTTTATTTCTGCCATCTTCATAGCTGCACAAAGCTGGAAAGAAAATTGACATATACAAGGCAAGAACAATAATTTGGTTATTAGCCATTGTTCAGGTTGTGTCCAGTCTAGGATAGGTGTACAGTGTGTGTATGTGTGCAAACATTTTTCAGACTTGGAGTGTATATGCTGAAATTGTTGACCATAACAAAACACTAATGCATACATAAGCATGAATTTGGCCTTACAAAAAATACCAGTGAAAGGACGTCCCAGTGACTAAAATACAAATGTGCGTCATTAAAAAGCCAAAGCATTTCATTTATGTGACCTCAGAAACCTGGTCTGTGATTGTCTCCAAATTTTAGATACTTTCCATGACAAAATAATTGGTTTGGCTTGACCCCAAATTGGCAGAATTTTCATGGCTTGCCATCTACCTGGATGTCTTAGACCCAACAAAACAAATCTAGTTGGAAATTCAGATGTCAATGTTATATACTAAGTAATGAGAACAAACGTCTTATTTGCTAATCAGTTTTTTGATCTGAAGTTTTTACTGTACTGACAAACAGAATTAGGTCATTGGGATGCCTACTTGCATAAGAAAAAAAATTCTCCTTGCATGACCGTCATTAGATGATTATTAAACTGTGACAGAAGTCTGGACAGGGATGACATATTGCAATGCAGTGTATAAATAGTGTTAATGTGATATTACACTCAATGTACAAATAGTGTTAGTGTGATATTACACTCAATGTACAAATAGAGTTAATGTAATATTACATGTACACTCAATGTACAAATAGTGTTAAAGTAATATTACACTCAATGTACAAATAGTTTACAAATAGTGTTAATGTGATATTACACTGAATGTACAAATAATAGTGTTAATGTGAAATTACACTCAATGTACAAATAGTGTTAATGTGATAGTACATGTACACTCAATGTACAAATAGTGTTAATGTTATATTACATGTACACTCAATGTACAAATAGTGTTAATGTAATATTACACTAAATGTACAAATAGTGTTAATGTGATATGACACTCAATGTACAAATAGTGTTAATGTTATATTACATGTACACTCAATGTACAAATAGTGTTTATGTGATATTGCACTCAATGTACAAATGGTGTTAATGTGATATTACATGTACACTGAATGTACAAATAGTGTTAATGTAATATTACCCTCAATGTACAAATAGTGTTAATGTAATATTACCCTCAATGTACAAATAGTGTTAATGTGATATGACACTCAATGTACAAATAGTGTTAATGTTATATTACATGTACACTCAATGTACAAATAGTGTTAAAGTAATATTACACTCAATGTACAAATAGAGTTAATGTAATATTACATGTACACTCAATGTACAAATAGTGTTTATGTGATATTACACTCAATGTACAAATAGAGTTAATGTAATATTACATGTACACTCAATGGACAAATAGTGTTAATGTAATATTACACTAAATGTACAAATAGTGTTAATGTGATATTACATGTACACTCAATGTACAAATAGTGTTAAAGTAATATTACACTCAATGTACAAATAGAGTTAATGTAATATTACATGTACACTCAATGTACAAATAGTGTTAAAGTAATATTACACTCAATGTACAAATAGCGTTAATCTGATATTACCCTCAATGTACAAATAGTGTTAATGTGATATGACACTCAATGTACAAATAGTGTTAATGTTATATTACATGTACACTCAATGTACAAATAGTGTTTATGTGATATTGCACTCAATGTACAAATAGTGTTAATGTGATATTACACTCAATGTACAAATAGTGTACAAATAGTGTTAATGTGATATTACACTCAATGTACAAATAATAGTGTTAATGTGATATTACACTCAATGTACAAATAGTGTTAATGTTATATTACACTCAATGTACAAATAATAGTGTTAATGTGATATTACACTTAATGTACAGATAGTGTTAATGTAATATTACAATCAATGTACACATAGTGTACAAATAGTGTTAATGTAATCTTACACTCAATGTACAAATAGTGTTAATGTAATATTACACTCAATGTACAAATAGTGTTAATGTGATATGACACTCAATGTACAAATAGTGTTAATGTTATATTACACTCAATGTACAAATAGTGTTAATGTGATATTACACTCAAGGTACAAATAGTGTTAATGTTATATTACACTCAATGTACAAATAGTGTTAATGTAATATTACACTCAATGTACAAACAGTGTTAATGTAATATTACACTCAATGTACACATAGTGTACAAATAGTGTTAATGTAATATTACACTCAATGTACAAATAGCGTTAATGTATTATTACACTCAATGTACTAATAGTGTTAATGTAATATTACACTAAATGTACAAACAGTGTTAATGTAATATTTCACTCAATGTACACATAGTGTACAAATAGTGTTAATGTGATATTACACTCAATGTAGGTTTGGACTTACGATTGCAGTACCAGACAAGGATTTTTTGGTGCGATGTTTAAGAAATGATAACTATAGGTTATGATTCACTGTATTAGGAAACCATCTAATACTCTAAGTTATAATAAAAGTTGTATGAATATTAGTTGAGACTAAGAGACAGTAATTATGATATATTAACAGTACTGATACAAAGTATGAAGTGCTTTCCACAGTAAATACTAACATTAAAGAGGATAATTGTGCCATGCATTACGAAATCAAAAATAATCATTATCATGTACATGTGGCATATATCATGTTAAATGTGTAAATTTGATTGAAGCATGTCTTCTAAATTGATCAGAATTCAAAACGGTAATTTGATATGACTACAAATAATTTGCTGACAATAATTGATAATGCATTCACACATATGCATGTTGCCATGACAACCGAATATGTAATTTGAAGACACTGTTATATTTGATGACTAAATGGTTAATTAATTAAATAGAAAGTCATTCCATTATTTTCATAAATTATCGCAAATTCATTTTGTTTTCATTTTTTTGTCATTTCATCAGAAGTACTTTTGACTATGAAAACATTGCATCATTAAAATCACCCAAATAGTCTCCTCTTGTCTAGTTGTAATTCTGTACTCCTGGTCCCAGTTTCACGACATTCTATAATGGAAGGAAATATTTACATAAGAAAGCATTATGGAGGCTAAAGAAAAATATCAAGGAAAGTTTCCTCAAAAATACTGGAGCCTGGTAAAACCGACTGAGTTACTTGGTCACCAACGGTCGCCGCAACCTGGTACCAGAAGCATTTAGGAGGTCATTTCGTAAAGCTGTGACAGTCTGGAACCTGTGACGCCGTGCTTGTATGAGCAAAATCGGTCTTGGCGTTGCGTTGTAGCCCTAGAACGACCTCCAGCATGACGTCTGGAAGGGTTTCCGTTAGTTTGGAAATGATTCCACATTCTTGCCACCACACCTGGAGACACCCCAAGGTCTGCTGCAACCTGACGTTGAGACATGTTAGCTTTTCACCGGCATTTAACCGTTGTCTGGTTCGTCATTGTGCTATATTAAAACAAAAACACGCGAAGAATATTCATCAAATTGATTTCCTTTACAATTTTAACAAAGCCTTACTTTGCCTAGCTTTGCTTTTGAAAGTGGTGAACACGTGAAAAAGCGTGCACGCGCTTTTATGGTTGACTGAACACATCCACACAGGACGATTTGGAAGGCTAACATATTTGCCCAAAATAGTACAGAAGGAAAATATAATATCCTTTCTAACATTTTGATTTTTTTTCAAAATATAGGTGATCGTAAGTAAAATGTGAGTAGAGTATATATAGACACTTTTGATTCCTTTGACGCTTAACCGTGTAAACGTATAGTAAAATTATTGTAGTAGACCTCAGGCCACTTTAATAAATAAAATTGAATAGTGGTATAACACTTCGATTATTTTGATTTAACACCGAAATAAAATTGAATAAACGTTGTATGCATAACGTTTACCTTTCCAAAGCTAAACCGTTTACGGCCAAAAAGGGATTGTTGTCAATGGGCTATAATATGTTTGTCATTGGACAGCAGAGAAAAATACATTCTAAACAAAATGTGATTCATAAAATGTATTTGTCTTCGCCGCAACCGGTCAACAGTTCCTGGGTACAAAGATTGTTATACTTGATAAAAGCGTATGTTACGGCACGATTTCTGCCCAGTGTGAGAAATCGTGCCGTAACAGCGTACTTCACACAAAAGTACTAAATTGCTTTCTTTCGAACACAAAAGTATTGAAAGCTGAAGATCAAACATTTTCGGCAATCCTTGGCTGTCGTCGTGTAGGGTTACAATGTGTATATTTCTGATCAAGTGTAGTCTATCGCAGACACAGGCTCCTTTTCATTTCATACTATGGTCGTTGTGTTCAAAAGGCACCTTAAGTATGGCATTGTCACCCTGTTTCATCCCCTTGTTAGGTCGTGTTGAAAATCTTAACTTAACATCGGAATGCAGTCGACTTAGTTTGTAGTAAATCAGCGAAGTGCTGTAGAAGACGAGACACAGACGGTTCATGTCAGGTCGTTCTAAATATTAACCCCGCTATATGTGTACACAGTAACTGTCCTTTCAGTAAGATAGCGTATAAGGCCCAGACACTTTTGATTCCTTTCACGCTTAACCGTGTAGACGTATATTAACTTATTGTAGTAGACCTCTGGTCACTATTATTATTAAAATTGAACAGTGAAATTACACCTCGATTATTTTGTTTTAACACCCAACAAAAAATAGGGTTACAAGGTGTATATTCCTGATCAAGTGGAGTATATCGCAGACACAGACTCCTTTCATTTCAAACTACGGTCGCTGTATGTTCAAAGGGCACCCTAAATATTAAAAAAGTAAGAATTGTCACCCAATTATTCAATGCCCTGATAGGTCGTGTTTAAAGAACCTAACGTCGAAATGCAGGTGTATATAATGGATATTTTGAACTTATAGTATAATGGAATGTATTTTAATGATACATAGCGACGTCGACTTAGTTTGTTATTAGGTACTGAATACCTCGCAAATATTCGATCACCAGTTTCAATCCTGTTTGCGACCAAAACAGCAAGAATGGCCACTGTCACACCATTGAAACTCAACAACCAGTCCAGCTCCATTGTACACGTACACTACAGTCAAGGAAGAGCTGTACATACATGTCAGGTCGTTCTAAATATTAACCCCACTATATGTGTACACAGTAACTGTCCCTTCAGTAAGATAGCATATACGGC